TTTCAGTACAAATACCTTTGTAGCATATTGTGACGATGTCACAATAAATACTGTACAAGATGCTTGTCTTTACGGGTTCCTTGAAAAAAAGTACATTGCTTGATTAGAAAGTTATCAAGCTCAACGTATTTAAGCATGTATAATAGTTTGATAAATTGGGAAAAGGATGCGAACTTCAATGAATCCACAATGAAAATCATTTGGGGACCATTCCGTTGCTATCGAATTGTAAACATTTAAAGAAAGATAGAGGGGAAAAAAATGAAAAACTGTAATAGATCTTAGAAAAACCATATCAGAAAGAACTTTCAACCGTTCGCTCATCACTCACTCATGAATGCAACCGCTCTGGCGATGTGTTCTAATGAAAATGATCAGACGGTAGTGTTCACGCGATCTGACGCTCACTCACGTACAGCCTGCAGCATGTTAACTTGTAATCGTATCGTATGCAAAACAGATGATAGAAATATGAGTGAAGATAAGGAAATCATAAAAAACATAATGCAAGAGCTAGAGAGAGAAAGAGAAACAGAATGAAAGAGAGTGAGTTAGAGAGTGAGCGATTGCAAAAACGGCTGGCTCATTGAATAAGCTAGTGACCACTTTAGATGTTGACTATGCTATGCTCTTAACGGTAATCATCAGTTGTACACAAATATTGGTGACAATAGTTATTCCATTTAAAGATGTTAAGCAAGATATGATCATTTGAATATATGAGAGAGAGAAAATCTTTTTTTTCTTCATTCTCATCTTCATTTAATGAAATAAAGGTTTAGTAGATGATGTGAATGATGAAATGATAGATTAGAGAGGTATTAGGATTCACAAAGTGAATACCCACAATACTTTCTGGAAATTATTAAAAAACAAAAATTGGAAAATGAAAAAGCTCATTTTGATAGAGACAGATAATGAATGTTAGAGAATGTTATAAAAATCCGTATAAACTAATGTAGATCAAGAAGTTCCCTGAGGCTATTCGAGTGTCAAGAATCACTTCAGAACATGTAAAGTGCAAATAAAATGTATTGTTGATGGGTTGAGCAAGAAGATAAGCTAATAATTTCTAAAAAAAAAGTTTTTTTTTTTAAAGAACTAAATCTTTCTGCATTGATATCAATGACATAGATAAAGAGACAGAGAGGTATACAGAGAGAGAGAGAGAGGGAGGGAGAGAAGGTGGAGCAGGAAAATAGGAGGAAACCTTTCATCAGAAGATATTGGGTTGAAGATTGAAAGTGATTACTGAAGCCTTAGAAAAAAATAAATGAAAGGTGGAATATTGGTGAATGAGTACCCCTTCAGTAAGATCATAAGGCTTCAACATCCTCATCATCTGACCATGGATATAGGCATAAATATATAAATACATCGATATTATATTGAAATATAGGGAGAGGGAAATGGGTTTTGATTTTGTAAAATCAAAATATTTAAAAATTATATTGAAAACGGCATAGAAACACACACACATCTGTTCAGTTATGGTCTATCTCTTTGACTCTCACTCCGGGGACTAACTGATGATGCTAGATGAAGAAGATGAAGCAGAAGAAGATGATGATGATGATGCTCTGTCTGTATCGTCTGGTTGAGGCAGGCATTTTGGCTTTCTTTTCATTTTTTTTCGCTTTCTCTACGTCGTTTCTTTCCCCTCAAGTTGCTGGGAATATTTAAGTGAAGGATAAAGATGTTCCCGAAAGAAAAAGGTAAATGAAGAAGCCCATGAGAAGACGTTCATCCAAATGTTCCAAAGAACTAAAGTATTTCAAATGAAACCAATGAAACAATGGGAAAATAATGAAAAGCCATAAGCTCACAGCAAATTAGAACACACAGCTGGAATGATTTTCTCTCTATTAAACCTATTTTGTTAGATATATAAATGTGAAGAAAAATGAGAAGAAAAAAAAAGGATAGTGAGGTAAAGAGAATCGAATAGAGAGATAGAGGAAGAGAGGGATCGAGAGAGATATATGTATATAATGATAGTAAAGAGAGACGATAGCGAGGGAAAGAGAGAAAGAGAGGACAATGAAGATGAAATAAACTACGAGTGAAAAGCTGAAGAAGATGGAAGAAAAGGTCTCATTTTCTGTTCCTACACCTACTTTCATTTTCTCATCCCTCTCTCTGAGGTATCCGTAGACTATCATAATCTTTTATTTCAACTCAACTGCACTTTAAGTACTCTGGTTTAAACATGCCTCTACTCATCTTATCCATTTCTCCTTATCTCTCACTCATTTCTCTTCAGTTTTTTTTGTCTGTTCTCAGTAAAAAGCTAAAGATCCGTCCCATTAACACCCATCCAACACTCGCAAAGACGTTTTTCACTTCTTTTCCTTTAATAAACTCTTTTGAGCTTTCAAAAGTGTTAATGATCAAAGGGTCGCTGCTACACAGGAGTTGTGTGTGTGAGTGTGTCTATGTGCAGAGACAAGAACGATGAACAGTTTAGAGTTGACAACTCAAAAACGAGAATATGACATATAGCGGATGTGAATAATTATATTTAATTATATATTATAATTAATGAGTTTCTCACTGGAGGCCATGTTTTGATTGTGTTTTTTGCTGTTTGTTTCTCTCATTGCGCTCATGAAGAACGATGAGATGAGATGAGACGATGACGACGACAACGAGAGGAGCGATAACGAAGAAAGAGAGAACAAAAAAACAAGCAAAAACCCTCTCAATATCTTTACCGAACTGAAGCATGTAAATGGGCGGAGCATGTCTTGCCTCAGAAGGTAGTCGTCTGTGATTGGCTCATTTGATTGGAATATTAGATGATGCGTGTAATGGAGTAGGAGTAGTAGAGAAACTAGCTGAACGTTAATGAAGGAAGTTGATATTGTGTTTTGGATCATCAGTTCATCCAATGAACAATGAGCTAATTGTCAGAGATCGATGATGTAATAAGTGCAGAGAAAAGGTGAGTATAGATAAATGGAATGATTCTTTGGGTTCAGAAGTTAAAGACAGCTGCTGCTGGTCATCTCTTTTCTGTGCGGCCATAAGAACTTTTACGAATACACGTCTAGTGGCCTTTATAGATCACGTAAGAGCTCTGGAAGAGATTCGTAATTCGTAGTTTACTCAACGTTCACCAGCATTTTTCTTTTTGCATTCCATCTTCTTCGTTATCCAAATACGTTCTGCATGGATATGATCTTCTCATTGTTCAAAGAGAGAAAGGATAATACCCTTAAAGACGTACTCTCACTCTCTCTTTCACTATTTTTCTGTCTCTCTCTCTATCTCAAATTTTTGAGAAGTTGGGTAAGTCTTAGGAGTTTTCAGTATCCGGGGTAGCGGGCAGGTGCCTCTTAGAAACCTACACAAACATTTTTCTACAACAAAGACAAAGGAGCTAATTTAAAATAATTTGAGTTGAAACTGCAGTTTATATAATAGGAAGGAAAGAGAAGCAATGCAAGAGCAATCAAGAGTTATCAGAATGATTCTGGAGATGCAAATGTGCAAATTTAAAATTCATTGTTTTGAATGACAAAAGCAAGCAAGAGAGAATGATGAGGATGATGATGATGATGATGATGAAAAGCACCGTAAATGATTTTTAAATATGAGAAAGTAAGGTTGTGGTGTTACAAAATATATATCAAAATATATGAAGTACATACAACCAAGCTAAGCTTTGCGTGCTACCGTACTCTTAAGCAGGGTTGCAGCTGTCAGCATTTTTGGCCAAATTGACTCACGAGAGAGAGGGAGAAAGAGATCGAGTAAGGTTTGATATAACTATATATATATTTATATTTATATGTATTGAGATAGATATATAGATATATATAATATGTATAGGGAGCAAATGATAAAGCTAATTGTTATTCAGGATAGAAGTTCAGAAGCATCTTTTCTGACTTTAAAACAAAGATTTCAATGAAAACTTTATTTACTCAGTCTCTTATGGCTTAGTAAATTCTTCTAAAGAGACAAAATTTCAATGAGTCGGAAGAAGTATTGAGTTGGATATCTAATGGTCCAACCGAAATCTAAAAGAAGATGAAGAAAAGCAAGGAGAATCAAGAAGAGAAGCATAGGAAGTGGAGAAGCATGGACCCTGTTAGTTAGGCTTTCCTGATTCTTCAGTCGAATGAAACCTAATACCTCTTCATGAAATCTTTCATACGCGCTCATCATTGCCTTCTTCAGTATGATTCATAGATAGATGAGATGAAGCCTTACGTGTGTAACCCAAGGTTTCTCTCCACCGTAAGACATGTTATTGCAACTTATCCATTATCTCCTTATTTGTTTGCAAGTCAAATGCTTCATGTAATTTACAACCTTTTGGAGAAGGCTTTGTTAAACAAATTAAGACACACGCAAGTATTTCTTGACAATCATTTCAAATGTAACTGAAACCCTTAAGTGTTGTCCTGGTGTCAGCCAGCTTTTACCACACAGTCTCATCTGCATATCCTTATACGGCTTTCAGTTGAGTAAATGAGTCATGTCACGACATATGTCATTCAATATCGTACATGAAGATTTCCAACATCTCTCGTAAAAGCTTAAAAATAAGAGAAAAAACATTTTTTTTTCTCATTTATTGTTAAGATTCCAACAAAATTCTACAAAATAAATGGAGAAAATTCTATCCGAAAACTTGAGATCATAAATATTTTTATGTTTAACTAAGTATTTTCTTCTTTTTCCTGACCTACTGCCATAAATCTAGAAAAAAGCAAGCTATTTGGGTAAATGTTTGGCCCAAAGAGAGAAGCTCCCAAATGATAAATGATGAAATATCACGCAGCCTCAACACTCCAGGTCGTATTCAACATAAAATGTGACAAATCGGTATTTACAATCACAATCAAAAGGTCTCATAACGAACAGTCATGGTATTATCCTCTAATGGTCTTCACTATGCTAATTGAGCAAGCCTTATAATCTTTAATAGTCTCGTAATTCTTTTTGTTTATAATTCTTCTTAAATGAATTTGATCTGATTGCAGATTATCATGGTTGAAACGAGATTATCAAGGCACAAAAAAATTGAAAAAGCAAAAGAAATTATTCCGTCATACTATGGCCCTTCTATCTTTGAGCTCTTCTCCAACGAGGTTTTGTATCAGATTTTGGATCGTGTCTATGGCAATCCAACTAAAGCTATTCATTTTAAGGTGTTGTTATCATATGTTACTGTTAACTATTGAATTCTGTTTGCAGGAATTCTGGAATTTGAGACTTGTGAGTAAACAGATGAACGCATTACTAAGTACCGAGTATGCTCGAAAACGCTACACCAGATCCACCTGTAAAATTTATCTGTCCTCTGCCTTCGATCTAGATGCCGGTGAAAGCCGTGCGGAGGCGATGACTTTTGTGAAAGTTGAAGCTTATATTGGTGATGAAGTGCTTATTGAAAATGCGGATATGCTCTGGTCTGAATTGCCGGAATTCTTCTCGTAAGTCCAACTTCCAAAAACCTTTCCATCATACCTTTTACAGAAAGAAAAATATTCGTGTTAAGAAAATGATAGTCTTATATACTCCTATGGGTGAAGAAGCTTTCAATGCAATTAAAGTGTTAGCAGATCAATCTATTCAGGTTTTTCAATTTTTTTTGACTTCATATGTTCAACGTCAATTGTTTTACAGACATTGAAGGTGGTCATCCAGGATTCTCCTTTCTCTTGGTACCTCTCTGTTAAATACCGTGAATTGCTTCAACCTCTCATAGAAGCTGGCAAAATCAAATATCGACACTTCAAACACCACCAAGCAAGTAATCAAGCGAACGAACTAAACCGTCTATATCGTATTAAGATAGAGAGACATTTCATGTTAGAAGTTTTTAGATTTTAAGGAAGCTGTTTGTTGTTACTCTCTGTTGTATTCTTTTTCATTTTGTTTCTGCCGAATGGACCAGACACCGTCTGAGACATTCGAACTGTATATGTTGTGTCAGTAACCGTTGTCTCTTGTATGAAAATTGACTTATCAAGTTAATTGATTCAAGTAGACTTCGAACTGTCTGTGAATACCCTAGGTCCCATAAGTACGAATTTGCTGTCAAATACTTCTAAACGAAAGGACATGCATTCCATTTCCACACCATAATTGTGAAGAATAGTCAAATACGATGTGGACATGTACAATCTCAACGTGAATTGTTCTGTTTTTTGATTTCAACGAAAATCTGTGAATTATGATATAATCGGATTGAAACGTGAGTATTGATTGATCAATACAAGTTCATCTGTTATTGGTTCAATAATGTAAATAGGAATAAACTTTTTTTTGTCTTTTGTTAAAGAAATGTTGGCCATGAACGAAGACGATGAGACCTTATGAACGAGCTGATGACATGCACCTACGAAGCATCAGTAGCGTTGACGATGATAGTGTTGTAACAAATTGACTTGCATTTGTTGCCAAGATAGACTTCAAATCGTAACTTCTCTCTTACTATCGCCTCTTCCAGTGCGAACAAAGTGAGTACGCGTTGATGGAGCGATGGATGGGTGAGTGAAGTCAAAAAAAATTGTCCGAATCGACATCGACTTATAATATTCTCAAACAGGCGATCATTCGTTTAAAATATTTTTTGATATATATTATGACAGACCGAAACAGACTAGTTCAGTTCTTATGTGTGTGTGTAGGATGATGACTTTTGTATTTTAAAACTGAATAGACAGGATTATTCCTTATTCATTTTATAAGGAGGATTTTGTATAAATATATTAATCCAATATATGAGAATTGTCTATTACAACTATTCTTTGGAACATTCATCTTATCATTTTCATTTCCATCGACCTTCTTCTTCTTTTTTTTTTCTCCTTTTTTCATGTAGTTATCGGCTATTTTTACGGAAAGTCATTTGATCAAAGTTTTCCATCAGTAACATCATCATTCCAATGATTTATATTTTCATTTTAACTCCATTAGCCTACTATCTGAAGCTGCAGCACACTGAGCAGCTCACATACCGCACACACACACACACACACAGACACACACACACACACATGGATTTGGGTCCTATGGCACCCTCATCTGCATCTGTTTATTTAAAAAGAAACAAACTTTTTTTTTTCTTCAAACTTCTGTTTATATATTGAAGTCATCTGGCTTTTAGTCTCTTCTTTCGATCTTCACTCACTATTTTCTACATTTTTTACATCTCAAGTCATAATATTGATAAAATCATTTGACTCATAACAGCTGATATCACATCGATTATCACCTTCGAAATGAGAATGAAGCTTGTTCATTGTCCTAATACATACACACACAGACATACTCACACACACACACACGCGTACGCACTGCTCATCATCCCATCTGTTATTAAATTGAAGTTGTTGATTAAGCTCGTCTCTGTTTTTTTTTGTTTTTCAGAAGAAACGAAAATGAGAGAAAAACATTCTTCGATTCTAAACAATCAACAACACCACACATATCAATCCATGACCTACAAGCACAGCGCCCGTCTGCAACCGTTTTGAATTGAAAAATGATGTTTCGCGAGCTCAGACACGAGTAACTGGTTCAAATTTTTCAAAATGGCGTTACTTAGTGCGAGAGAGAATATGATAGAAAACAGTATTTTCATCAGATTAGCTTCAATTATGAGCGAATTTTGTGAAAATTGATAGAAATATTCTTCAACATATATATATAAACGTTAGTAAATGATAAAAATTCCTTAAATAAGCTCTTATCTTTAGTATGTTTCTCTCTTTCCGTTTTAATATCGCCGAATATATCAGTCGCTAGATTGGTGGTCTTGTTTATCTTTTTCAATATTTTTTTTTCCTTTTTTGCATACAAAATATTTTCCAATGTAAGACCATGCAACATCATGACGACTACTGCTTTGCTGATCATCTACACTGCACAACCCACTTTCTTCTTCTGAATTTTTAAAGTTTTCTATTTCAGTTTTGCCGTAACTCAACGGGAATTTCTTTGTTATTTTCTTTCTCATCGAAAATACAAGAAATTCCTCTTAGATGTTGTTCGATATTAATCGTTTCCATTTCTTCGTCCTTCTCACCTGGCAGTTCGCCATCTTCTTTGCTTCACAACAGATATTTCCAATCTTCTTGAACTATGTTCCTGAATGGCAATGTGGTAAGTTGTATATCAATTGAATCATCTTATTCTCTTCCCCCATAGGTGATGGGCCTATCGGCAAGAACTGTGCCGAATACGACAGATGTGGAGGAAATGTTACTTTCATAGGAAAAGTATATGATTCAGCTGCTTTAGAGTTAAGTATCCTTATACTTCAAGCTTATCTTGATTCTTAAGATATGGTTGGATATGTAGTAATAATTATATTGGAACAACTCTGTTACCTCAGGCTCAGTTCTTGGGAGTTCTACTCGGTTTCGTCTGTCCAATGATACGAAATCATTAGATCTTCCATTTTAGGCACTTTCTCGTTTGGAACTGTTTCGGATATATTTGGCAGGAAGCCAATAGCTATTATTGCTATGAGTCTCGGACTTACGATGAATTTCATAACAGGTATTACGGTGATCTAACATCCTTTTGAATGTTCTTGTCATAAGGATTGGCTTCTTCATGGAAGATCTTCCTTGTCATTCGGTTCTTCGTCGGTTTATCTGTCGGAGGGACTTTAGTTGTAGTTTGCACTTTTGTTATGGAAATGCTTCTTCCACAACAACGAATGGCGCTCCGAGCATTCTTTAATTGGGTTATTATTGAGCAAATATGTATATCTGACCTTTCTTATTTAGGGAGTCGCAAGACTCATCATGACTTTAATCTGTCTAGCTTTACCTGAATGGCGACAATCTAGTTTCGCATGTGCTTTAGCTGCCTTACCAGCTCTCTTCATCCTTATTTTCATTTTCCCAGAGAGTCCAACATGGCTTCACAACAAAGTTGCTCCGATTCTAATATATATCTCATAATTCTTATAATTGAAGGGACGCCTTGATGATATGAGAAAGAGTGAGATGCACATCGCGAAATGGGCAGGTGTTGAGTACCAACCAATTGAGCACGAAAAAGTCGAACATAATAAAGTAATCTACATATAATTTATCAATTGCTCATTCATATTTAGACGGTGTGCGAACTGTTGACTTCTTGCAACTTACTACGTCGTCTGGTTGTTCTATGGCTTATGTGGTTTGTCGCTTCCATCTGTGGTTATGCAACTGATTTGAACTCGAATACCATCAGTGGAGATTTCTTCCTTAACCAAATTCTGTTTTCTATTCTTATTGCTGCTTCAAAAATCGTAAAGGGTTGCCCCGTTGCCGTCTGTCAACTTGCATAATTCAGGCGCTGGTGATATTCGATTCAAATGTTCCAGCTTTCTCAAGACGTTCTCTCCATCAAGGAGCCCAATCCATCGTTTGTGTATGTTTCCTTATCTTGACTGTCTTGACTATCAAAGAATACCGCGTAAGTTATCTTTCAAACCATAGATGAACTCATGTAATGTTCGCAGGGAACCGTTATCTTAATTGTTTCTTTAATTGGAACTGTATTCATTGAGTATACATGGGATGCCTGCTATTTGTGCGCCGTTGAGTCTATGGAGACAGCATACCGAGCTAGTGCTACTGGCACATGTTCGTTGATGGCTCGTGTAGGAGCCTTCATAGCTCCATATGTAAAAAAAATAATTACTTTTTGATGAAAAATAATAATTTTCTAGTTGAACCAAGCCACATCGGTCTGGCCACCAGCTCTCTATCTTACAGTTGTAGTTCTCGGAACCGTCAACTTGGGAATGTCCTACTTCTTCTTAGTAACCATAGATCATTTTTGATAATCCTCTCAAATCAAATATTATAGGTTGAAACGAAAGGAATTAACTTGGATAAGGTTAAAATTCCTGATGATGATGCCGAAGATCAGTTAATAGAAGCAACACCAATGGTTGAACAGCCAGTTCAAGAAAAATCTAATGAATAGAAAAGACAATTCTTTGTTACTAACGAAACAATAGGTGAATATTCCTTTCTAGTTTTTTACTTTCCAAAAACAAATACTCAGCTTTGTGCTTACTAACTGCCTTACAAGCTCATATCTCATTGCAAAGAATAACGTTTTGAAGACGAGGCTCATATTGAAAAAAAAAAGTTCAAAAACCATTCTTATACCATATATTTCCTATAAATCATGCTTTCAAAACCTTTTTGTAGAAAATATTCAATGAAATGATTTTTTATTGTTTTTTCCCACAACTGATGAATGGCAATGCGTTCTCATCGAAATTCTCGTTACAATCGATGACATGAAATAGTACTGTTCGCTTACGTAATGATAAGCATACATATTGATTTTTCAAGAAAGCCGTGAACTATCATTTCAACAGTTACACGCGCATGGAACGGTTGTATATCATAGATGACGGAAACGCTTCAATTTTAATGTTGATAGATTTACGTTTCAAAATCATTTTTATGTTAGATAACTGTTCAAAATGGATTGGGACTTGAAATAAGCCGAATCGACACGTTTTAATCGTAGTTGTATTGTCATACATTGTCATCAGATTTATTACCTTGTTCTCGTGAAATTTCTATGCCCAAAAGGTACTGGCAGATTGCTCTCTTCTTTGTACATGCTACAGCTTGTTTCTATATAATAACTAATTATTTAATTAATAAACATAATGAACACATTTTTAAATTCATGAACAACGCATCCATAGGTATGTTTATCAATTCTTAAACAAACTTTCATATCTCTCTCTTGTGGTCTAGGTGATAATACCTCTGCTTATGGTATGTGCTATTTCGGATCGAACACTACATGTATTGAGCCATTTAGACCATTTCCAAATAAATTTCGGGTAACTCTTGAACAGAAGATTTCAACGATAATCTTTTGAGGTAGCACCTAAGTATAAATTAGCAGCTTGTGTAATAGAAAAGAGTATGTCAACTCTGTTAGCGGCAATCATGTGTTTACTGTACGACGCAGATGCTTTTCAAAAAGCAGAGCGTGCGTTGCACACCGAGTTGTACCATAAAAGGTAAACGAGTTCAGCAATTTCGTGAAGGAACACTTCTACAGGTTTTGTAAAGATAAAAATGAGTTGATTGCTATCCGACCGTACATGAAGAAGTTTCCAACCACCAAACTCTTTGCCATAGTACGAGATCCCATGGAGAGATTCATCAGTGGGTTTGTCGATAAATGTATAAGGTGATAAGAAATATACCCAAATCATTAGCAAACGTCCCTTATTTAGAGAAGTCTCTGAAAAGCCAGAACGTTGCTATGGATGTGATAGGAATTTGACTTGCTTCATGCAAAAACAATTCTATAGAATGTTGTTATACCAAAAAGGCTCTGGCAAATACATCAGCTTTGAGGATATCCATTTCAACCCCCAGAACTGGTTAGAACGTCTTCCAAGATCTATTTTTATTAGGAAAATAGGCATTGCAATTTCCGGGATCATCATTTGCATTACAAAATCATTAAGTATGGATCAGCCGGTGATGCAAACAAGGAAATGGTCAACAACCTGATTGGTCTGTTTCAGGAATCTGGAGTAGAGACAAATCTACTGAAAGCTATTGACAAAAGTATAACAGGTAACTTATTAAGTTCCGACAATTATGGCATATGCTAATTTCCAGATAGCCGGACACCTCATGCGACTAACAAACTGGATGAAAGGACAATTTTCGAACAACAATTGAAGTCAGACCCAAAGTTGCTAGAAATGCTTATTCAAATGTACTATTATGATTATTTATTGTTTGGGTATGAACTGCCTTCTCTATCTCCAGCTCCCCTCTCTCTCTAAGAAAATTTTTCAAATGTTTTTTTCTGTTTTCTAAAAAAAAAGATATAAATATGATGTTGAAACATAAAAAATCACAAAACAAAGAGACACTTTTGAGGTTGGAGACGAAAACAAAAACGTTGAACGGAAAAATCAGAAAAAAAAACGCTCAAATTCAAACAGTGCCCGATCCAGTGATCCAGAGCAGGGATATCAATTGAGAAAAGTAACTGTCTAATTAGAATACGTGAGTTTGCGTAATACCGTACGAAATCAAATCATTTAGTTCTTATCAGACGTGAGTAGTGGTTGGGTTTGGCCCAAGTCTGGAATATTATAATACATAGTAAGTTATTTCATCTAGTTTACTTCTGGATAATTGCTGGAACGCTCAAGGTCGTTTTCAAAAAAATAGTTTAAATGCCAAGTGAGATGACACAGGGGAGTGGAGATCCGATTTCTGGCTCCATTGTTTTGGTACCCTCATATTCCTCCTCATTCTTCCATATGCTATTAGAATATCGATTTTTGTCTACAGGTCACGCTAGTAATCCCAGCGTTTTTTTCGAACTTTAATGTTGCCATTTCTCTCTATCCAATAATTTTGTTTATTTTTATGATATTTTAAATTTTCGCGCACTAATTTATAATTCTCTTAATTCATATCGTCTCCCATCACTGTTGTCAACAAGACTATATAGTGTTCATCTGTTGATGAGGAGGAAATGATGAGATGTTTCATGAACTTTCTCTTGCATAAGTCGGGACATCCCATTTCTGACTTGGGTCATGATTATCGCGACACAACCCATAAGGAAAATCCTTTCCTGCGCTACATTCAGATATTTGCATAAATATTCTTATTAGATCGTTCATTTCTCCAGCTACATCCTAACGTATGTGATGAGTTCTCAGGTAGTTTTATACGTTTCTTTTGTAAAAAAACAGGTATGAATTCAATCAAATGCAAACATAAATGCCTGCTGTGAATGTAGATATCTCTTGGGTTCATTTGTTTCTTTGTGTCTTTCAAGTATAATGCAGATGAAGTTATTTAAATGCGCTTAAAGCTTTCCTTCGTCTCATCTTCATAGGTTCCGATTTCCATAATACACTCCCGCTATTGCAGATGTTTGCCAGACGAAAAGAGAAAGATAAATCTAAAGGAGGAAAAAACGGTTCAACGGGAACACTTAACCAAAGAAAGGTAAGCGATTTTGATGAATTCTACCGATTTGCACATCATCTCAAACCATCTGACCAATTTTGAAATTCTCTGATGAAATCATTGTTTATGATTTAACCGCTCCCGACAGTGTAACTGATGGGATTATCATATCATAAACATATTTCCTTCATACCGAGAAATCATCTATTTTCATGTTAAGCCCTCAAAAAAGGTGAGCTCAAGGTCATATTGACACGCACTGTCGTGATTCCTGTCTCTCCTCTTTCTTACCAGCTGACCAAAGCACTATGTTTGAATTGCTAGCTTGGCGCCTAAATTAGCAACCCATGAAACAGCTTGAAGCTGAGCTACTTCTTCAACGTAATCGAAGCTTCTGTTTTCGCCAGTTTCTTTTTTGTACTTTTCCAATTATGAGTCTTCTCTCTTCATCTTAATCCCCGTGAAAGTAGGACTATTATTTTTTTAACATAATAACTGGCTTTTTCCAATTTGAATAGCCTGTCTTTCCCAGTTGATAAGAAGTTTGGGCGTTTCACGTTTCACGTCTAGCCATATAATATTCGACGTCCTCACCTTTATTCTGAATTTGGTAAACATTTCGATGTAATCAATTGTAATCGGTTTGTTTCCACATGAAGCGACTTGAATTTCTGTACAGTTCGCCGTTTTTTCACTTATTGCCGGACAGCTGCATTGTAAATTCATCTTTGATCAAGTATATTCTGATCATAGGATAGGATATTAGATGCGAAAAGCATTGGAATTCTTTTTTCTACATCCTCTTATAGTTTTCTTCGTCTTTTTGTTGACTATATTCGTCATCTCTATCGAGTCATGCAGGCATCGTTACCTTTTCTCGTATACAAACAAGGAATGTTTGTTATTAGAGGAGTATATCACTAGCATTTAAGTTTTTTTATTTCTTCAAGCATACATTTAGGCCTTAACGCATGTCTTGTCTAGACGTACACTCTCAATGCCATTCCCACCTCATAAATGCGTCTTCTTCAAATTTCTTTCAACTCATTTTCATATTCTTTGTTTCTTCTCTCTCTTCAGCTGATGTTATGAATCAAATGACGACTCTTTCTGAAAGCCCGCTGTGCATCTCATATGACAACACTCTTTTCATTTTTTAATCGTTTTTTCTGTGTGAATACAGTGCAATTCAATTTCTTGATTTTCTATCAGTATTGATTTTTATTTTTTCCTCTTTTTTTCCGATGTATCATCACTCTCTTTTGGTTTCCATTCTAATTTATATTTTCCATCCGACGGTTTCTTCATATCCTTCATTTGTTCTTGTGCGAATTAGTACGTAAATTGTTCAGAAATGTCAGACACTGAGACTGACATTGAGGTTCTCACTACCCCTCCTCGAGTCCGTCGACCTTTACCGTCGCACAATGCTGATGCTTCTTCCAATCTATCACCTCACGTATCTACTCCATACGCTAGAACTTCCACTATTTCGGAAGTTACACCTAATATTGTTATGAGGAACAAGGAAGGGTCTGACCCTTTCCGGCGATCTAGCATGGAGAGGCACTCTGTTCATTGTGGATCTGACTTCAGCACTAGGCGAAGTCCTAAAGAAGCTGGAAAATGGACTGACTTATTCACTTCGAAGCGAATTAAAAATAAAATTAAAAAGCATCTTCACACCGAAACATTGGTTAGCATGAAATTTGTTTTTTGCAATTTAAATAACAACTCACTCCAAATATACTATTGTTTTCATGTACTTTACTTTGAAATTTAGGATGAAGACAGGATCAGTAATGACAGTGGCTCCTCAACATACGACAGTATCGATTTGGATTCTCTCAGTACTATAGAATTAAGAAATTTGGTCGAGAAATTATTGGTGTGTAGACTTATTCCTTATCCATCTTCATTCATCTCCTTCAGAAAGACAGATGTTTACCTCAAGGAAATTTGGAGTCGTTCTTGGCTAGTATGAGCGATGACCGTATGAAACTTCTAATCAGGCAGAATCGCAAAGCAGACAGTGTTCAAAAAAAGGTTTGTTTTTTTCTTTATCAAAACACATAGATTTTTCTTTTCTATTTTTATTGGTTCTCATTTTTTTTGTAAATTGGGTTAACTATGTAGGCGTTTTCACAATCATGTTGTTCTTGACTTCTCTAAAGTATTACACTTCAGACTCCTAAACAGTTTGTTGCTCTATTGGCCAGATTATCTCAGACTGAAAACGTAGTGTCCAGGACAAACGAGATAGTTTCTCTTCGCGTTTCCTTAGCGGGGGCCGACGTATCTTATGTGCAGGAAGTAGGGGACTGTTTTGAATGGCGAGAAAATATTTATTTTTCAGTTTGCAACTACTGTTTTACCTGACTCTGAACCTAGAGAGGACGGTCTACAACTAATTGGACGTCTGATCGGGAATGTTCTTAGTCAAATACAACAGAAAAGAGATCAAGTTTATGAAGTCAAAGATCTGTTACTGTTCTTAACTGAACTGTTGAAAACTATCCGATGTATTTTGAACACATGTGTAAGTTAATACTCTTTCCTTAAGCTTAATATCATTTCTTTCCAGCCTGGAATAGATTTGGTACTCAGGAAAAACAACAGGACTATTCATCGTCTATTAGAAGTTTTATGTGTTATAAATAGGAAGGCTCAAACTCCCGAGACTATGTCTCTCAGGAGAGAAGTTGTCAAAATTCTCTCGTCCGTCTCGTTAATTCAACAGTCTTCGATTGAAGGAGTACAACTAGAGAGCAGTGGGTTAGTATATTTTCCAAAGCTGAGAACACTGTATCATTTTCAGAGCTTCTAAAATTCTCAAAGAGTTAAACTCCATGGCGGGCTCTTCTAGACAAACAAGGTTCAAACCTATTCTAGGCTGTCTAGAGTTCTGCTGTACTGTCGCTGAGGAAGAATGCTTGGTAAAGAGATCTGGATTTATTCAAAATATAATTCTTTTAAGTATCGATTACTTATTATAATGAATGTTTTGATCAATCGGTCGGACGACAGCTTAGCAGAAGATCAAGCTTGGCAAATGAGAATGAGGATCCGGAGTGAAATGGTTCAAGATGGGTTGAGTAGATATTCACAGGTTTGTTGAATGTAACGTTCATGTAATGACGTTTTTCTTCAGAGAATCGAGAATATAGCCGAACAGGTCGACCGAGTGAACAATTCATGGAAAGCATTCGTTTCGCACCGTGATGAAGATTTCAATGAGCTCGTATCTCGTTTTGAAACCATGTACAGTTCCCTTTCGGTTTTATGATTAATCTCTAAATTTTGCAGTCGCGGAGAATATGAAACTCTAGATGGCTGTTTCGAGCTTCTTGTGTCATCCACTGATAAGACTCCTGTAGAACCGGTGATGCTTAGCATTCTTCAACATTTAATGTTAATACCTGAGGATATATCAGTCAGGTTAATTTGTCCAAGTTCAGCGTGTAGTTCTAATTATTTGTTGTAGACTTGCCTATTTCCGTTTAATAGAGAATTGCATTAATGAAATTGTATTGCACAAGAATGGAGTTGATCCAGATTTTGAGTCACAGTTCAGATTTGAAACACCTGTTTCTGATATGATAGGTTGAACCTACACTTAAGAGAATTGGTATAATATTCTCATGTTTAGAACAGCTACAAGACTCGGAGATTTCACGGAAGTTGGAGCATACAGTTCAAGCCAAACAAGAAGCTGTTGCTAAGCAGATGCTATATTGGCAGAAATTAAAAGAGTTCCAACAAGAAGCTTCTCAGTTGCGGAAACATGTTAGTTAACAACATACATCTATTCATTAAAGTTTACTTATAACAGATTTCCGAACCATCTGCACCTTTACCACCAGCAACTGTCTGTAATTTAGAAGAACCATGCTCATCTCAACAGAGCTCGTCAGGTCTGCCACCTATAACCGGTGGTCCTCCTCCTCCGCCTCCTCTAGGTGGATTACCTCCCATAACCGGCGGTCCACCTCCTCCCCCTCCACTGTTAGGAAGTAATAATTTGATAATTATAGCTTCAAATATATCATCTGAGAACATCTAATCATATTATTTTTAAGAAGGAGGGCCTCCACCTCCTGCACCTCCTCCTCCTCCAGGGATGCTTGGTAAAGGACTACCTGGACCACCTGCTCCTCCTCCACCACCGGGAGCTTTAGGACCTCGTCCGCCCGGAGCTCCACCACCTCCGTTGGGCGGGTTCTCGTTAGTTCCCGCGTTACCAGAACATCTCGTTCCGAAAACTAAGAGGAAAGTTGAGATACCGATGAGGAAGTTCCCATGGGGTAGCAACTCGGTTTGTCTATCTTTCTAATGATTTTCGTTTACATCAATATTTTCAGATTAACCCCAAAGAAATAGCTGCAGATTGCTTCTGGGCTAAAACTTGCGAAGATAAGTTAGCCAAAGAGACCTTACTAAACGACTTAAAAGTTTGTTCGAATTCTATATTCAAGTGATAGGTCGTTTCAGGAAAGATTTTCTTCTAATCGTCAAGGCAAAACTTCTGAAGATTCCAAGCGTAGTCTCCCATTGAAGAAAGTCAAGTTACCTCAAGTTATCCATGACGAAAAAATTCTCAAGTCATTAAGTTGGTGCATTCTTCGGACCAAATTTAATTCAAACATTTTAAAGATATTCTATATGGGTCAGCAAAGTTGGCACCAAAGGAATGGAGGCGGATAATAATTGAAGTGTGTTCCAAGCAGTTACTGGATGTAGATTCAATTTTCAGGTCGATGAGAAGAAAGTAACTGTTTCTACCTTACAACAATTGAGAGCTGCCCTGCCTCCTATGGATATGATACGCAGGTTGGCTGAAATGGATAAATCAACCTACGAGGATATGCCTGAAGGAGAAAAGGTACAGGTTCTTGTGATTAGTTCAACCAATTAATCGTTCAGTTCGTTGCTTATCTTTCGAGTATTACTGCTCTTCCTGCACGAATGGATCATATCATTTTCAAAATAAGGTTCCAAGAAATTCTGAATGAACTGAAATCGGTACAGCTTTCTATGATCCACCTTCTCTCATTGTGTTTTCTTCAGAGCATTTCTGCTGTTATTGAAGCTTGTGATGAAGTTAGACGTTCTAAAGGCTTCAAAATATTCTTAGAATTAGCGTTGCTCTATGGTAACTTCATGTCGCAGTCTTCTAAATCTCATAAAGATGTGTTCGGTTTTGAGATGAGCGTCCTGACTAAAGTAACATGCCTTGGCGAGTTAGTAGTAATTTCCATTATTAAGATTGCCGATACGAAAGACGTAGAAAACAAGCAAACTCTTCTCCATTATATGATAGAATCAATAAAAAAGATTGATGCTTCTAAAGCGAGGTTACTACTGTTACGTTTGCGGGTTGCATGTTAAATTCTTCAGGTTTGCGCAAGAGGATTTCTATCACTGTGGAGCTGCCGCTCGTGTTAATGCGGAAGAAGTCGAAAATGGTGTCTCAACAGTGCGCCAGAGCGTTGTTAAGGTTAGTACCAAACTCATAGATCGGTTGCATTCGAACACAAACTCTTTTGAAGCTGGAGAATTTCTTGAAAACGTACAAAAAACTGGATGATCACGATAAGTTCCTTCAAGTTATGACACCTTTCCAATCGAAAGCTCAGGAAGCTTTTGCAACTATAGAGAAGGTGCGTAAATTCACTTTCTTATCAAATAGACTAATAACTTTTTAGATGCATAATAAAATGAAAAGTGATTGGCAAGGCTTAGCTAAGTTCTACGCTTTTGATCCTAAGAAGTACCCCATGGAACAGTTCTTCACTGATATAAAAACGTTCAAAGGCCAATATGAGGTTTCTCATCCATATGGTACAGCTCAGACTTATTTTCTTCAGACTGCTCACAGGGAAATCGAAGCTGAAAGAGTTAAAGCTGAAAAGGCGAAGGAATCTAAGAAGTCGAGCAAGGATAAGAGAGCACCTCTTAGTACTATACAAGGAGCTGTCAATCCTTATAGCATCGCCAGTTATGCTACGCCAAGCAAGATTCAGACAGGTATGACGAGAAAAAACAAATTACTTCATACTGTATACCATTTCAGATCCTACTAAAACAGGTGTTTTGGACGAATTAGAGAAAGTTATGGAGTCAGCTGATCTGAACAAATTCCTCCTAGGGACGAGAACACCAAAACCTCCGAGCGCTATCGCGGGAAGAACTAGAAAAGGTATCATACATTTCTTCTCACTTTCCAGCTTTTTTGTTTTTTAACATCTTATGTTTGCTTTTTAACCTTAGGTCAAATGGCGCTAAATCGACAGCGGTCAAGAGGGTCTGAAATGTTTTTAAACGAACGAAACGCTCTCGCTGAGCTAGGAACCTTAACGCCAACAATAGCTCCTCGAGAACAAAGAGTTCGGATAAGACAGAAGGGTGGAGGTACCATTGAGGTAAGGCTTTATGGTCGGTCATATGTTTTTGCTATTTTGTTTGCCTTTTTTATGTGCGAATAAGTACACTGAAAACAACAGATAAGTCTATAATCACAATCTTTACAGACAGTACGTCCAATGCAAACATCACCGTCTCATAAAGAGAACGTAGCCGCTGCTTCCAATTCTCGAAATTCCCGCCCCAACGCTAATGAGTTATTGGCGCGGTTGAATGATTTATAGACTTCTAATTTTGAAAGTAGTTAGTTTTTCAAGAGTTCATTTGTTCAGTTTTTAACTCATGCCTGACACTCATCTGTATGCTTGCTTTCAACGTTGACTATACTCTTGTGATGTTTTCTTCTTGCGCATTTTTTAATATGGAATATTTTAATAATCGTGCAAATCATGGTATGCGATAACGGGTACCGGATTTAGCTTATTCCGGGTTTTCTGTTTTTTTTTTCATTTTTTTCTAATGAGCTATCATGCCCTTGGTGACTTTGTGACAAAACTTTTCAAACGACACTAACTTTTCTTGTTTATGTGATGAAAAGAAAATTAATAAGCAATATTTGTATATCTATATCAGCTAATTCTGTATTAAAACTATTTTTGTATTTATAAGGTCAATCTAAGAATTCGAATGAAGATTGATATACCTATGCTTATCTTATTTTAATGATGATAATGGTGATGATGATGATCGCTGTGATGATTTGATCTCTTGCCATTTTTAAGGTCCCTTATGATTTATAGCAAATGGCCATGAATCAATATCATATGATATTTATGATTAGGTTGTAGTCTGGGACACTCATGACGTTTACCTAAGCAAAGGGCTTGAAGAAAATGAAAATACAGGCTGAAGAACGGGTTCTCTTCTGAAAGTTTCTAGGCAACACGTGGCGTATATTGTCAGTTCTAAATTTAGGATGATTCCCTTGATGTAAGAAGTTGCAAGATCAGAAGAAAAAGTGGTCTGAAGTACCTACGGAGACATGTTTTGATGTTTGGTGCGTCTTCATGATCATAACAACTGGGGACACGGATAATATCGTTTTGTAATAACTTCGTTTCCTCGGATGGTATCTTGCTGGTGGTCGTACGCCAAAGCCAACATCTTCTGCTTTCTTGACCCTGTTTTACAGCAGCCCGCTTTCTTTTTTTGTATTATTTCTATTTTCTTCTTTTCAGCAGTTCGTTCTATCATCGCCATATCATAAAAAGTTTTTGTTCAATATACGTTCAGGCATCCGTCAACGGATAAGCAACAACGCGCGTTTGACATGCACGTCGTCGTTTGACACGCCGAATGCGTTGAAACATCATTTGTATGCAATCTCTATCAATCTCATTGTCTTTCGGAAGCATAACGTTGTCCTAACCAGTCTCTTTCACTGATAGCCCCGTTATCTCTTGTTATTTCTGTAACAGACTAACGAGTTGCTTCCTCTCTTCATCTAATAGTGCCTGTCGTTGAAACAATCCAACTAGTATTTTCTCCGAATCTCTCTATTGTACGTTATGTCTCGCACGTGAAGTCTTTCATGATAATGCGTCAACGAAAGGCATAAACTTGGTGAATGCGCACTTCATACACTTTCAAGAGAATATTCGAATGTCGAATCAAACAACAGCTTTTGGATTTGACGACGTAATAGGAGCTTCTTTAAGATTCATCTTGCATCAGCTCTCCACGCAAACAGCTCGGAGATTCTTGGTGCTAAAGGGGGCAAATGATGTGGGGTGCTGTTGTTGATAAGACTGCAATTATCACCCGCTTTTCCAGATTTCTCAGCAACTGTGTTTGTGATCAGGAAAATGAAAGTAGTGAATTGATAAGATGATCACGGCTAGGTTCCGAGCCGTATTTGACTAATTCGAGGGTACGTTCTCAAGGCATTTTTAAAAGATCTTCTAATTACAGATTCTACAGTCATCAATCTTATTTCAACTCGTTTTTTCAAAAAATTTTGTACAAAATTGCGTCAGATAAACGTCACGTGCAAAATGCTCCGCCTTCTTTCACCCTAATGGTCAGTATATAAGAACAAATCTACGAATGACTCAAGTAATTTTCCTGATTAGCTGAAAATGGTATGTCTTTCTAGAATGCAATAGAAATACTCAAACGTATTGTTTACAGACAACTTTCGATCGTGGTACCAAGCCTGACAATGGGGCATTCGTTGCTTTTGATCATGTTAAATTCGTTGTAGGAAATGCCAAGCAAGTATGAATATCGAAAACAAACGTGGGAAAATGAAGTATGTGAATTACAGGCTGCTTACTGGTATTGTGCCAACTTCGGTTTCGAGCCATTTGCCTATGAAGGTTTGGAGACAGGAAATCGCACAGTTGCAAGCCATGCTGTACGTCAAAACAAAGTGAGTTGGGAAATCGGAGATTTTTGAAAATTGTTATCATTGAGGAGCAATTTCTCCAACTTAATCATTTGTTTTTCCTTTACAGATCATTTTTGTTTTCCAATCCGCTTTACTCCCCGGAAATAATGATTTCGGAGATCATCTTGTTCTTCACGGGGATGGAGTTAAGGATGTGTGCTTCGAAGTAAGAACGTCTCTGTTTGTTTTTTTTCTCATGCCCTGTTTTCAAGGTTGATGATCTCGATAGTATCATGGATCATGCTAAGAAAGCTGGCGCTAAGGTCATCCAAGATATCAGAAAAGACGAGGATGAGAATGGATATGTAAGATACGCTACAGTACAAACGGTATTTATTCGTACTTCGTTTCTTCGAATGCATTTGGATAATTAAGTACGGAGATACTGTTCACACTTTGTTAGAAAGAAAAAATTATAAGGGAGTGTTCTTACCAGGATACAAGGCCCACACAATGCCAAAGCATTTCTTCCAAGGACTTCCACACGTGCGTTCATGATATAAATAGCCTTTTCAAAGTTTAAGTGTTCTAGGTTGGATTGAATTTCCTCGATCACTGCGTTGGAAACCAACCTGATTTAGAAATGAATAGCGCCGTAGAGTGGTATGAGAACGTATTAAGCTTCCATAGATTCTGGTCTGTGGACGATTCCATGATCCACACTGAGTTCTCAGCTTTACGATCAATTGTAGTTACAAACTATGAAGAAACAATCAAAATGCCTATTAATGAGCCAGCCTCATCGTCCAAGAAGGCAGTATCTCAAATTCAAGAATTCGTCGATTTCTACGGTGGAGCTGGAGTGCAACATATCGCATTGAACACAAGCAATATCCTATCAGCCATTGAAGCCCTTCGAGCACGCGGTGTAGAGTTCCTGACCATTCCTAAATCATATTACGATAACTTGAGAGAGCGCCTGAAGGAATCAAAAGTTCAGGTATGTTAATTTGCTTTTTGGTATATGGTGTGTAAAAAGGACAACCGCTTTATGTGTTCTACCGAAAGAAAATTGAATTGAAAATACGTGGGAATTAGAGGCGTGGCTTATATGATATACGTGAGGTGTGACGTAAATTACGTGGCAACAGCGTCGTCTACCGGCGTTCTGTAAGTACACGCTTGACGTGTGAGCATAATTAGTCTCTGAATTATGCAAATATCCATACAATTCGAAAGTTAGTGTTTTTCGGAAAAGGAATTAGATGATTGAAGTCAAGCATAGCCTTTGGCTTTGACAAGTTCAAATACAAGAGCTGAGCTTTACGCGAAAAATATTTTGTTAATTTCAGATTAAAGAAGATTTGGATCATCTTGAAAGACTTCACATCCTAATTGATTTCGATGATAATGGTTATCTCCTGCAAATCTTCAGCAAGCCATGTGAAGATCGCCCCACCTTATTCATTGAAATCATTCAAAGATATAACCATCAAGGCTTTGGAGCCGGTAACTTCAAAGCATTGTTCGAATCTATTGAATTGGAACAAAATCTTCGTGGAAATCTGTTCTATGAAGACGTATCTAAAGGCGGTAAACGTATATAATTCTCATGTGTAGTCTATTATGCTATCATATTATAAATAAATATATAGATGTTTGATTTCTCTTTAATTATTTTACTTTAATATTCTTTTCCTTAAAAGACTTTGATGACGTTATGGCCCATCGTGGGAACATCGCAAGCAACTCTCTTCATTCCTGTTTCGTCGTCAGCACTCTTAACGTCAAATGTGTTTCATTAAAAAATAGAAGAAAAAAAAAGGAGAATATACTTGAGCGCCAACTCCATATTGTTTAGTTTCCTTGCAGCCAGGCACCTAGGCAGGCATCGTTTCTTGCCGCTCGGTTCTCTCACTCCTTGCCTCCGATAATACCTCATCTAACAAAGTGAGCTAAGCTTACTCAGGCAGCAGAAGAGAGCGTCTCGTTCATCTGAGACTACCTACTGCTGTGATATATATACTATATACTCATTTAGTATAGTATATACCTAACCAATAGCAAATCTCCTTGGCTTTTTCTTCCTCTCAATCTCTCTCTCTCTCTCTCTCTCCTTCTCATTATTGGATGAGATCTGCAGACGGACAGTCTAATGAAGGAATAAGCTGTGAAATTTCATTAAAGATTGAATGATCGCTTAATGAAACTCTTAAACAAAGGCTAATTTCTCTTTTTGCCTCATCCAATAGTCTTGTTAAATCTTCATTTGTTTTTCACATTTTTTTCTCCGGTTTTACTTTCAAAGAACGGTCATCTTATGCTTCATTCTCACTCATTTTCCTTTTTTCCTTTTTTTTTCTTTTTTTATATTTTTTTTGTTTGAAAAAATAAATTATTTTTCCACCCAATATTCTTTTTATATTTTCTTCCTTTTTTTCTTTCAAAAATAACATTCCATCGCTCTTCTCAAACAGGGCTGTAGAGATCTGTTCTGTCCGCTGCTTCTCCTCATCTCATCTTCTCCTTTCACACATTTTTGCAGATTGAGACTCTTGTTTTTCGAAACATTCATTACCTGACCATCTCTCTCTCTCTCCTTCTGCTTTTCTTTGCCATTTTTTTTCAGTCGTTCCACCCCAAACTCTTCTTTATCCAGCCTATATCTATTTGACGATGCGAACAAGAGCTTGAAGCATAAGCTCTATAACCTTACACCATCCAAGTAATGCTATACCTTTGGCTTCATTAGACTTAAGTGATTCAACATCCGCTTTCTTTCTCCTCCTCTCCACATGCTGTCTTCCTCTCCTTTAACCCATTTGTACCCACCTCACTCTCTCTATCTCTCTACCTCTTATCCCTCTCACTCTCCCCCTCTCTCTTTCATTCCTTCTTTTAAGACTTTGCCATCCATTGTATATGTTGAAAAGTCTCTGTGAACCGAGATCGAACAATCTCCTCAAAAGGTTCCGTTTTTGTTTTATCAAAAGCTACTTGTGCGTCTATTTAAAGCAAAATCTATCGCAATTCATTCCATAAATAGCCAAATTGGTCATGAATTTGTCTTGATCATCCTACTCTTTCCTTCAACAACTTCCTCTCATAAGAGATACCTTTCTTCCATATCTATCTGAAAGTACATGCACACACACACACACACATACACACACACGCACTCACACTCCTATACACATACTCATCAATTACGTTTTTGCTTCATATTATTTCCTCCGACAAAAGCCTCCACACACACATATACACATATTACATATATAGTCATACGTGTAGACGTACGTATAGGCACACCAACACACACGCACACATGTAACCAATCCCACCAATCAACATTTGCTTTTTTTGAATTTTTAATTTTTACGTGAAACGCTCACGTGTTTCCTATTTCCTTCTCTTCCTCTCTCCTACAATCTCTCTCTATCTCATCTAGTAGATTGGATATGTTGACGTATAATGACCATATTTTGATTATAAAATGTCCATTTATGGCAGACATCTCTGGTATATAAAGACATGAGGAGAAGAAGCGAGATTGGATTGTCTTTTGCACATGATTTTAATCTCAAAAAACATCTTTTCGACAATCTGATGTTTAAGTTTTTCAGCAAAAATTTTTTTAATATTTCACATACAAAATATAATTTATGCTGTTGTTGATTAAGTGATTTTGGAGATATTTGGCTGATAGTACATCAGCTTCAATCTCCCTCAATCCCTTCCTTAACTCCCACTTTTCCCTTGCTTGACTCCCATTCCCTCCCTCTCATCCTCCCTCTCATATCAATGTTTCACCTTCTATTTTTTGCGTGAGCTTCTTCTCTCCCTTACTACATCTTATCTCTCTATATTCGTTTACACCATCCTTAGCCCTATATATACATCACTATCTCTCTCTCTCTCTCTCTTCTCCATGTATGTAAGAGAGAGGAAAATAATTAATTTATTAATTATATGCTTTATCCTAACCAAAAGAAAACACATACGCCATCGTTGTCGTCGTCGTTGTCGTCGTCGTCAACGTTCTTCTCGTCGTTGTCGTCTCTAAAAACCTAATTAGACCAATTACAAGGCTTCAGTATAACCCATTTCTATTTATAGAACATTTTCTTAGATTAAAGCTTAAACTTTTCTTTTTAGGAAATTTACGTCACAATCCTTATCCTAAAGCTCTAGCTAGCCAACCATGTGTAATGGTTTGCAAGATGGATTTCTCCCCGCTATTCAACACAAAAATGACAGATCCTCTCTTTCTCTCTCTCCCTCTCTCTCTTACTAAATCTCTTTGATTTACATTCTTTTAGTCAAAACACAGAGAGACAGAGAGAACCAGAGGGAGGGTGGGGGCTAAGCTTGCATGGAGGTGGTTGGCTGTAGCCGCGTGATGCCCTCCGGCTCTGTGAGATTCAGAATCCTTCAAACACGAAAGAAGTCACGACCTCCTCCTCATTTCGTTATCTTTTTTTACCTCTTTCGGCCGTCAGCTTCTCATATATAATTCTGAATTCCCATTCGAACGAAAATTCAAAAGATATTCTGTGTTCGTCCAGATGACGTTCATTTCGTTCTTTGAGCAGCCCGTTTTAGCTTCTTCAAAAAACCCAGAATTCAAAAAAAAAAATATTTTTTTCGCTTCTCAACAATCTCTCTCTCTCTCTCTCCCTTCTACTCCCCGGTCCCTTCATGCTTAGTGGCTTCATTTTATAACAAAAATAAAAGGCTTTAAACTCATAAAAACGTCTTGAATATTTGGCTAAGGAAGTCGTCCTCATCGAGAAGTCCAACGTCAAAAATCTATTGAAAGCAAGGTATTTCCCTTATTTAGGAGAGTCAAAGTCTAAAAGCCTTCAAGACTCATTTGAGCAATTGCTTGCGTCATACCAAAACAAAGATTTTTCGAATGAAATTTTTACGTTTCATTCGCATTCCTTTTTTGATAAAAAAAAAAGAGAGAAAAGAAAGAGTATGCGAGAGAGAGAGTAAGTAAGAGAGAGAGAAGGGGTGCAGAGAGAATGGCGTGGAGTATTAGGTGAAGGAGAGAGATGAAGACTCTCTCTCTGTGCTCCAAAACGCTTTGTTGGCCACACAGCTGAGAAACTTTAATTTCTGAACTTTCTTCTCAAACTTCGGAAAAATGTCGTGAATTGCATACAGAATTACTATATTTATATAGTTATCCCAACTAAACGTTTCCTGTTTTTCTTGTTTTTTCCAGCCTCTTCGCTTCATTCCCTCATCCTACCTCTTCTAGTCAGTGTATGTTCTTCTTCACTCTCCCTCTATCTCTCTCTTTTATTCTCTCTATATTCATATATCCACCTTCTCTCTCTATATCTATCTACCTCTTATGCTTTTCCAGTATCAATCGTTCTCTCTCTCTCCCTCTCTCTTCCAATCCCCCCACTCATCTTAATTCTCTCTCTCTCTCTCTCTCTCTCTATCTTGCTCTTGCATTCTTCAAATGACATCATTCTCGGTTTAAAAATTTTTTTTTTTTTTAAATTCAAAAACTTTTTTTTTAATATTTTAAGAAATGTGGCTTTTGCTTATCAGCGTTTGTTCTGTGTACGTAAGAGCTAATGAATTCTCTGATGATTGGGGTATTTGAATTTGAATGTTCTTTTCACATCATTATACATCTTCTATATTACAGATAATATACAAAATTCGCCAATTGTTGTTCCACAACTACGATTATACCGAAGTACATTGAAGGACTAACACACGATTGCATCATTCATTTTGATTATTTTTCAGTTTTATCGTCTCCCGAAAAGAAATCTAATGAGTTAAAGCGTGATATGTCTGTATATCCTTCAGCTGGTAGTCAGCTTATGCCACGTATTCCATTACGAGAACCACCTCTTAAACGGTATGTCATCTATCTCTCTCTCTCTCTCTTAACATCTACTACTCCTTACTCTCTCTCTCCCTCCCTCCTACTACTACTACCATTCCCTCCTACTTCATCATTACCATCTTATTATCATAATAGAATCTATTATAGATCAGACAAAGATTATTTTGTTGAAAGGAGAACAAGCTATCCATTGGATATGCTACGAGTGCCATTACGTGAGCCGCCGTTGAAGAAGCGTAGCATGCGCTTACCATATCCACCCATTCTGCCTGTACCTGTTAAAGAACCTCCATTTATAAAGAGAAATAGTTAATTTTTGATTTTGTTATACATATATCACCCTCTGGTACCCCCCCCGCCTCTCGCTCTTCCATTTCCGTTTACTTTGTTAATAAAAGTAGATGAAAATGAAAATATTTATTTATTTATTTTATTTTTATTTTAATGTAACAAACAAGGAAGAAAAATAAAAAAAGAAAAAAAAAAGAAAATGAGAAGATGAAGAACGAACGAACGAACGAATGAACGAGCGAAGAACGAAGAAAGTATCAAAGAAGAACGTCTCAATGCATGTTTGGAATGAACTTGTTAAGACAATGGCTGTGTATGTCAATTTTTGTAGTTTAAGAAGAAAGTACATCAAGATAGATATAATGAGACAAAAAAAACAATATCATAATCATAATAATATAAACCTAACATTCAAAATGGTTTTGGTTGTTGTGTGTGAAGCTAACTCTCTCTCTCTCTTTCACTCTCTTTTTCTCTCTCTTTCTCTCTCTCTCTCTTAGTTTTTGTGTATTACTGCTATACTATATACATATATGAAGAAGAATCGTATGCAACGGCATTACGCTTTTCCTCATTATCCTTCTCACAAATCCCCCCACAACCTCAAAACCCTCCCCACATCGTCTGGTGTGTGTGTGTGTGTCTGTGCTTCATCATTCAACCTCATCTTATAATAATCGAATATAGCTCAATATGCAAATGAGGAAGCTTAATGTTGTAAAGCTGTTAGTTGTAGAAGCATTTGGATCATCGTGATCCATTGCTACACGAGATTCAGCTGGAATCGATCTAGTTGATCTGAAACAAATAAGATATACAGTCCATAGTTGTAATATGTGTTAGATAGAAAGAGTGTAAGTGTGTGGTTGTGAATTTAGAATTGTTGATGTCATACTTTTCTGGCCAATAAGAGAAATTACAAAAGTCCATCAGATTACAAGCACATATCCGTACGTTTGCTCCACTTTTGGATGTTTTGAATAGACAGGCACCATCCTACACAAATCAGTTGTCTTGATGAAGAGAGATGTCAATGTTCAAACATACTTTTAAGCTTTTATTATGACATGTATAATGAACTCCCATACTTGGATGATCAAGCATTAAACAAGCTAAATTAAGTAAAATTAGAATATTTTCAATGACATATTGTGGGTTAAGAGGCATTATAACAAGTATGTTGACCTCACCTCACTCTCTCTCTCACTCTTCTTCTCCATCCTACTACTACCGCTCCTCTATTCCTTTCCCTCATTGAAGCTTTTCAAGTGAGGAAGTCTTTGCATTTAATTAATTTTTCTTTTTTCATGTCCAAAAACCTTCACTTTGAATTTTTTCAATAAAAATCCTCGAACGACGATGAGAATGAGCAAAGCGAAGAAGCAAAATTGCAAACGAACGATCGTCAAGAGGACATTTCCTACTCTACCCTCTGGCCGTTTCTCTTCCTAGAAATTAGTAGAGAGGGAACGATAATGACAGAGAGAGAGAGTAAGAGAGAGTAAGAGAGAGAATGAGAGATTGCTTATTGAGGTTACTTCTCCTCTAATATATTATTTATAATGTTAATAAACAAAGGTCAAAGATGGCTCTACCAAATGTTCTTTGACTTAAAAGAAAAATAATTTTGATTGAATGTCAACTGACTGAATGATGATTGAAGAAATGAAACTTACAGCCGCCTTCAGCTTCACATACTCCATCATAACAGGTAATCGTCTCCGATTCTTTTGTACATTTACATTTGATAGCTTGTGTTAATGATACACATAATAATGAACAAATAAATATTATCTGCAACAAGATATAAGACGACATGATCGAAGAGCTGTTCGCAGTTCACAAATACCTCAGATAAATCCATTTAGATATCCCTTCTCAAGTAGAAAGAACAAAACTGAAAATAAAAATTTAAAAAGAAGACACCGATGGCCAGTCAGTCAACTACAACATACAGATAACATAAGAGAGAGAGAGAGAGAGAGAGAGAGAGAGAGAGAGAGAGAGTAATGAAACGAAAGGTATAAAAAGAGAAATCAAGAGTAATAGAAACATAGAAAGAGTGCCAAGAGAGAGAGACAATGGATATACAGTATGAGAGAGAGAGACATAAGAAAGATAAAAAGAAATCATTTTGAGAGATAATATCATTTTTCTTTTCAATCACAAATCAACGATTTCTTCTTTTTTTTTTTTTGCTTTTTGAGAAGCCAAATTGAAGATAATTATATGTTTCCGGATAAGGGGAGTGAGGATTGCCAACAGGCGACGTCAACATTTCACACAAAACGATTAAACTGAGCTATATAAACACTTTTTGCTTCTTAAACAGGACTATGGATAGGTAAACATTGATTGCCATTTTAAGTAAGAAAACGAGATTTTATTATTTGAATATACTTTTAACAAGTTTGATAGCAAAGACAGATAAAGCAACTCTAAGTAAGTGATTTGAGTGATTGAGGAAGAGAGAGAGAGGGAGAGGCAAAGGAAAGGGAAGTGAAGTTGATGGTGGAGAGAATGGAGAAGGATGAACACAGGGAGTTCTCCACAAATGATAAATTCTACTTTGCAGACCATCATTCATCAAAATGAATGGAAAATCATTACCAGAGAGTTGTGAGAGGATTAAAAAATGTCTTTTTTAGAACACAACTCTCTGTGTAGCAGACGTTCAAACTATTTCATTATCTTTAAAAGGGAATTTGTAAATAAACATAGAGAGTGAGGACCAGCTCTCTGTCCATCACAATCGCAACTCTTTCTATATGTCTCTCTCTATATCCAGTCTATCCCTCCCTCTCTCTTTATGCTAAGTAAGAGGGTAAGAGATATGGATAGAGAGAGAGCGAAATGAATTGAACAGTTGCACACACATACAAAGATGATTTTTGTGAACAGAAATCAATATAATGTCCATATTAGACGTAATGAAAGATTCAATTATAATAAAAATAGAATAAAAGAGATTTTCTTGTCCAAAAGCGACTGTACTTGGTCATTGAAAGCTCCGCCCACAATCCAATCAATAATTTTATTTACGTGAAAAGACGTGAATGGAAGTTGAAATGTACGTAAGTCAAATGTTAATTATCAAAAATGAAAAAATTGAAGGACGTAAATGGGTGTGTTCGCATCCAAATGAAACGTTCACCCCCTGCCCCGACAATCCACGAAATGATGTGATTTTCAAGAGTTGCGGCTATGACATGAACAACATGTAGGTCAGAAGCTTGTTCAATTCTTAGTTTTTCTTACTTTTCTTGAAAATAAGTGTAAATAGCATTGAATCAACTATTTCTAAATCGTTGCCTCAGGCAAGTATTCTCTCTCTCTCTCTGTATATCTCCCATTCTCTCTCTCTCTCTTTTGCTCTCTATTCATCTTTCTCTCTTTTTTTTTCATTTGAAGTTAACGTCAACTTTCTGTCTCATCCCTTCCAAGCTTATCCAACCTCTAGCATCCGTCAATAAGTCAACTTATATAAACGATCGAAAAAAAGCTTATTGGAAGATGTGGATTGCAGTTATCAACGAAGAATAAGTTCAGAACAGTGTATGGAGTGGTTTTTGAGCGATCAGTAATGCAATCGTTCAAGCATGACAGGATAATTAGGTTAAAAGGCACAAATTATACGTATAGTTGATATATGTGGTAAAAGAAGTGTTTAAGCTTCTTGCCATTTAAGGACATAAGTACAGGGAGGTCTTATGCTCATCCACTTGAGATGATCTGACTCTCACGAACATTAACTAAACAAGGACATAATACCGTGTGTGTGTATATGATGTGATGAAGATTTATGAAGACTTTTCACTTAAAAACACATGCAAACTATAGGCAGACGAAAATCTTTTCATTTCAACATTGGGAGAAGCCATCTGACATGTCCCCTCTCTGTTTCTCTCTCTCCCCTCTTATATTAAAATTGACTTTCTATTGTCTTTTTGTTCCATTCTGGTATTGTTTTGAAGCTTTTCCATATTGAAGAAAAGGAAAAAAAACCTTTTTCTATATTCAAACTCTCATATTTGTTATGAAAGGTTTTATTTATCTTAAAATCGTTGTGAGACCTAATTGAAATATAAAAAAGAAAACATTTCTTGTTGTTTTTGAAAATGTAATGAAAGTTTGAAGTAGTAGCAGCACTGTGGCAATGAGACAAGATGACGAAAAAATAAAAAAAAAAAAGAAGGAAAGAAAAATGATTCAACCGTTCTACGTGAAGTTCAATTTCAAAATGAAAAATATCACGTGAGATAGGCGACTTTCATGGGACAAATGGATGAAAACGTCAGAATTCAACGGAAATAAGATGTATCCTGCCTTGATTAAAAGGGAGAAGATGAACCGCATGAAGTGGTTTCGGCAGGTATATATATGGAGCAAACGACACTCTTGTTCATTCAATGGAAGAGCCTTTCTTCTGCGCTCGTATTATCTCCATTCAGATGAGCCGACCTTGGAAATTCATGCGAACTGTTCATCCAAACAATCGGCTCTGTCCCGTTCTCTTTCTCTCAATCTCTCAAACGGAAGCAAAAGATTCTGAATACAATCCATGTAAGGTAAATTTTCTCTCATATTTGAGAGAGAGACTTTCGCATTGTCTCATACCTTACCTGCTCTTACCACGCCTCACCGTTTCTCCCAACCCCCAGTCACCAACAAACGCTCACCCATTTACTACTCATAAGGAAACATGACGTGGAAGTGCCTTGAGGCATGTGACTCAGTTAATGTGACAGAAACGAAGCATCAACATGAACAAATAAAAAAGTTGATTATTTTCTCCGAGTTAACATAAACTAATTAAAGTATTTTGCTGCATATCCCAGAATTTTTTTTTTTACAAAAAAAAGGAGGAAAAAACGACTTCAAAAACTCTGGACACTTTCCTCCAACTACTCAAGCATTATATAATAAGTAACATTACATATTAGATTATATCATAAGAAGGGGAGAGAGAGAGAGAGATATATAAAGAATGAATATATGTGTGTGTGTGTATGTGTGTGTGAGAAAATGCCATTAGGATATACGAAGAGTGAGAAGAGATGGAGAGGAGAGCAATACAGAGAGAGAGAGAAAGAGAGATGAGAAGTATAGAGGAGTTTCCATGATTTCTTTTCATATTTTTTTGTTGTGTTTTAAAAAACATTTATGAAGAAGTACTCAAAATGAGTTTATAGTTTGAATAATGAGCCCCCAAAAAAGGAAATAAAATTAAATGAAAAATATTTTGATTTCGTTGGTATCATACACACACACACACACACTGTCTATATGTGGAGCAAAAACAATCTTTTAAATAGTTGAATGTTGAAAAAAAATAAAATTGAAAGATGAAGAGAAAGCAAATTTGATCTCACACATATGTAAAATGATATTAATTATAATTAACTATAAATAGAACAAATATTAAAAAAAAAAAAAGTTGCTGGAAGAGGGCAAGTACGAAGAGAGATGACAACACATACAACATACGAGACTTTCAAATAGATTCAAACATACGGAAGGAAAATGCGTACAGCGAAACTCAATATCCACCCTCTATATCCTTGAAGGAGAAATGAATATTGGAAGGAATAAGGAAAAGAGAGAGAGAGAGATAGAGAGAGAGATGAACATAGAAAGTAGATGAGAGAGGGATGCAAATTCTCCCATTTTATCATAAGTTTCTATTGATTAAGCTCTTTTAAAAAAGTTTTTGCAGAGAAAGAGAGAAACGGACGAGAGTGGAAGGGAAAAGGACCCCCCTTCTTCCCTTCTGCACATGGTGGGACATTTTTCAACTAAAAGTTGATTATTACAACTTGAATCATTCAAGCATAAAGAGCAACAGAATGAATTCTTATAGCGATGAATACTATACGTATAGTAAATATCCATATAGTGAGTGACCTTATAACAGATTTACCTAGTTAACCGTAAATTATTTATTAAGTTGTTCATTTGTTTTTTGGTTTTGTTGTCAAAGAGCATATTTACTTCTTTTGTTATGAAGAACACGAACGGAAGCAAAGTGACAAAACTGACATCTGCATACTTCTTCAACAATGAAATAATTAAAAATATGGCTGAAAATCAATGAAGCAAATATATTATTCTATTCGAGAGATTTAATCTCTGTTACCTACCTTTAAAAGCTTTCAAACATGTTCGTTCCGTTTTCAGAAGGATCATCATGTTCCGTTTTCAGTCGATTCAGTGCAAAACTAACATTTTCTACTTCTGTTTTGTTTTAAATTTCATTTTTAATCGACAAATTCCTTTTTTCCGAATAAAATCATTTCTTTAAACTCAAATAAACATTCCAGCTTTGTTCCGTCAGCTTATATTTCATGCGAAGAAATATTCTCAGTCACAAGAAGTTATGACCTATTGCGAACATTACAGTAAGACGTGAATGCATAATTTCATTTTCAATCATTTTTTCCATATTGAACGGTTGTGCTCATAACACAATGGGATTAGCAACAAGTTTTTTTCCTGTTTCAGATGATGTCTTCTTCCTGCTCTTTTCCTATTATCTTCAATTCAAACATTTATGCTAATGAGATTTTTGAATTTTCAACAAGATGGCGGCTAATGTAATCACATTGAAATGTTTCATGTGGAGTGGTGGTTTTTAGTTTTTTGTCTCCCAAAAGTCCTATTGGCAGGTAATTTTGTGGGAGATTTCATTTGTTTCAACGAAATGCAGACAACACGGAGACAACTGCCTACGTGCCGCTTGGTTATCATCATGCTTTTTCGTGTAACATACCTATTGTACAATCCGATTTGGTAACACTTTGTCTTTTTAATCCTTTACTTATTATTATCAGATGAGAAAAGCTGCTTGGAAAATAACAACGGTTATTCCTAATGGAACTGTCGCTGAGCTGCCTATTTACCCTGAAACGTAGTTATGATTGTCAGAAAGCAGCAATAAGTTTGTTACAGGAAGAAAAATGGAAGAAGATTTTTCTTCAAAAAGCTGGATGCTAAGAGCGATGCGAAAAAAGAAGACTTCAATCTATACGGATTCGGTTTACAAAGGATTCATCATGATATTGTGCTCAAATGCTACATTGTGCTTCAAAACGTTGGAGGTACAATATGACTCGTTGAGGGTTTTTCAGTTTATCTTTAAGAAGTTAAAGAACTGTCAGCCTCTACTAGACTCGGTATGTTTCTTTGTGTTAACGATAGAGAATATGAAAAAATGTTTCAGTCATCCAAGATTGCTCAGAGGAAGACTCAAGTCTTAATCGCCGAAATCCGTTAGTTTTCAGCAGTCGTCTGTAGAAACTGAATATCTTCAGTTGTCATTATGGAAAATGCTTGGTGAAGAATGCAATGGATACGAACAGATTTCAGTATGTTGAATGTTTGTGCATGCCGGAATACACGGGAACATTCTGCGACGGTTTGGTTTTGTTTCGCTTGCGAAAGATCTCAAAAGGTTTCAGTTCCAATTCCAACTGCGAAATATTGGACTTTACTCTATTATTCACCGATCATAACATTGGGAATTTTATTGACATTTGTATCAACTTCCTATACTCTATTCGACGGTCCCAGGTAGGGGTTAAAGAACGCCTGTTTGATAAGAATCTGTGCTCGTTCTAGAATTATCCGACCGTTGTCCCTTGAAAAACATATGCCTATCGGAGATAGATGGCTAACTCTTCGGAAGCTATATCCTGCATCTTATGTGAAACAGGAAGATGTAAAGAACTTTTTAGTTTTGGGGCATTAATGATTACAAATAATTTGCAGATTCCCGAACTTCTCGATGAAACGTGTTTAGATGATTGAGCAACATGGTACATCGCATGTTGAAATGTATTTTACGAACTCTCACTGTTGTTTCTCTAATCTGGATTTTATTCTGTGGTTTCAGTAAAGTTTGTTGCCTGTTTCAATTTTTTTTCAAATATGTCAGAAGTGTCAATCATCTGGAGAGGGTTAACCATTTAAGCAGATTAGACTCTGACCTTCTCAACTCAAAACAGAATAAACATGATTAACATGAGAAATATACCCACGCATCATGCGATAAAGCAGTGCAAGGTTTAAAATTACGAATTGTGAACTACAGCTTCTAGCGCGCTCTTATCACAAAAATTTCAATATAAAACGTGAGTCAAAGGTTTTTCCAGATTAATCAGCAGAACATGAACCGAGTGATCATCGGAGTTTATTCCATATTTTCCCTCAATTCAACATTCTTATGTATTTGCTGCCTGCTGTATAGCATCGACTGGCATGCACACATAGCCAGCTGTGGAACAAGCGGTACAGTTCTGAACTATTCTAATGGTAAACTTGATTTATCAATTCAATAATACTCGTTACTTCAGTTGCTACGGCAATCCTTTTCGGAATCGTTGCCCTATGTTGTATATTAGTGATCATTCGTAGATGTTTAGTTATGGGCAGAATAGAAGCCAACATCAGAGAGAGCACTTTCTTAGTTTTGTAAGTTCAGACGTTCATTTCCTTTATGATTCATTTTTTCAGTTTATCCGCTTTCTCACTATTCTATACAGTTCTTTGGGGAACAGTTATGCTCATTTCCTTGTTTTTCAAGTTCGATCTGGAATGCTTGAAATCTAAGTCGAATAAGGTTGTAATCTGTAACTTCCGAATTAGTTACCTTCTTGTGTTTCAGAGAGATTTCGAGTTGCTTTGGCTGCTTGTTTTAGAAGCAGTGGTTTCTGGTGTTCTACTACTAATTGCAGCCGTGTATATATCAGTCAACATTGATAAATCGCAAAAGAGAGAGGATCCCGTCAAACTTCCTTGAAGCCTTCGGAATAGGAGCTCACCAGGGTTGAAGCAGTACATGATCTGAATGTTTCTCAGGACATAATATTTTGTATATTAAATGACTAAATTGATAATAAACGTTTTTATAAATATGTAATCTATCTAGTGCTCACTTGTTGAAGTTTTTTCTTCTAAATGTTAAGTGCACAAGGTCCTCTTTCATCTGTGACCTTTTCCTCTTTGGCTTCTGTTTCATTTACTTTTGTTTGAAACTTTAATCAAACTCGAATGATAGGTTGAAGATGACGTGTGACTCATTATGTTATTCAGTTTCATTTCAGTACTTTAAACCTGCTTTCTACTACCTATTTCCCATTTGTTTCTCTCTTAGTCAGTTGATGGTATGAAGCCTTGACACTCAAGTTGAATTCACATGACAAAGTAGTGGAAGTGGAGAGAATTAGTTTTTTGCTCCTTAATTAGGCAATACCAGTGGGAATGTTATAAACAGCAGATAATTACTGAGATAATGATCTTGAATAGCTATATTTCGAAACTATTGTGGTTCAAGGGTTACAACAGCTTCATCAAGCAAAAGCCTGAACGTATGAACTTTCTGCCAAATGATTAAAAAATTAAAAATGGAGTGAGTTGTATAAGAACACTTGTGAGGCGTAGATCTACCAGACAACTCCAAAAAATGGTTCCTTCATATAAGATGTTAGAATTTTCTGATATTCCCAACGTCGTGTAAACTAGGTGAAACTTCCACGTCCAGGCGCTCGTTCGAAATACTGACTTTCTAGTTTTCCGAACGTCTTCTAGAAGTTTGTTTTAGATGAGATGAAAATAACTCTACGGAGAAGGCTCGACTTCAAGTGCCGTACTACATTTTTAAAATTTCAACTTTTTTTGTTCTGAGAAACCAATCTTAACGGAGTTCCTTTATGACAGTGGATGGAAAAAATTGATTGATGCTTAACTTTCCTCCATACTTCAGTAAGACTACCAAGCGCTCATGAAGCCGCAGAAAAGTAATTGCGAAATCTTTCTGGCCTTCGATGGTCCATACTCCAGTAAAACCACCAAGCGCCTATGAAGCAATAGGAACGTGATTGCGAAACCTTTGTGGCTTCCGATAGTTCATATTCCAGTTAGATTCAGTCGTAGAGTGTTGTTCCAGTCGATTACAGGCATTCTTTCCAGATGAAGAGAGTTGGAGAAAATCTCAAAGCTGATGTATCAAAAAAAGCTAAGAAGGAAGAAGATGATCGTTCTCCATTTGAACTTGTTCCTCGCGAAATCAAAGAAAAGATTCTGAAGATGATAGAGAAAAAGATAGTGTACTTCTCTGACTTCCAGGTTTTCACTTACAGTATAATTTTAAAAGTAATCATTGTTTCAGAAGTTTTGGGGATTGATGTTTGTTAACAAGGAGTTCTACTCCATCATGAGCAGTGAATATGTTAGACGTCATTGCCTTAAGTATCCTTGTGGTATTTTTTCAAATCAGCTAACAGTCCTTGACGATATGACTACCATGGATGTTTGTTGTCCGATTATCTACACGAGCAGATATCATGAGCCAAAAGAAATGTTCGATAAGGTTAAAAATTACCCTTCAAGTTTTCACGAGATAAAGTTGAAAATCGGTTGGAAAGATGTTCCAAGATACTTCGAGTAACTTTCTTATTAAATTCTCTTTTCTATTTTTGTTTTCAGAGATAAACCATTTCGTATAGATTGCATATGGAATCGATTCCATAAGGAAAATCTTGATGAGGGTGTGGTGAACGATTTCAGAGAAGTGTCATTAAGAATTTTCGGGGTATGTCGTCCCTTTTTTGATTCACATACACTGATCATCAATAGGTGTTTAATCCTCAACTCGAGAAAGATCCTGAATGTTGTCAAAGCTCAAAAGTTCCTGAATTGGCCACAGTACCTTTTTTTCAACTTTTTGGAAATTCACCTAACATTATTGAATAAATATGTATTTTAACTCTTGTTTGATACCTCCTCTTATAGAAGAAGCAGACATCCATTTGTTATCTCAGCATATATACCTTCAATCACCTTACTAGTGGCATCTGTTGCGTCTTCTCTCCTTGGTGTTTCAAATCTCATTCAGCTTGCTTAGCTGTTTGTAGACAGATCAAAGTTATTCTTTCTTGAATGACTTAGTTATGAACGTTTGTTGTATCCGGATATTGATCTCATCTTCGCACAACTTCATGGTTCATAGAACGTTTGTTGAACATATGATCCTGATCAAAGCTGATACTTCAGGTGAACTATTCATATTCAGAATATCCCGTACTTGCTAGTGGTAAGTCAGTTGATCAAACCACTTCACTTCCTTTATATTCAGGTGTTTTGGAGATTAAAACTCATTAACAAGAAGTTCAATTCCATCTTCGGTAGTGAATATGCTTATCGTCACTTCCTGTGAAACCTGTGTTCGCTCTAGTTCAAGAGAGAAAGAAGTAAACAAATATAGTTTCAAATACAGTTTCGAGACCAATCGTATGGCTCAGAGGTATGGACGGTGCGATTGCGAAATCTCTCAAACCGATAATCCTATCGATATTCATTATTAAATCTTGCTCAAATCAGATTGTGTTAAGATGAGCCAGATATCAAACAATGCTTCTGCTAATGAAAACCAAGGAGATGGTCGATCCCCATTTGAACTTCTTCCTCGTGAAATCAAAGAAAAGATTTTGAAGCTCGTAGTAGAAGAGATAGAGCACTTCATTGTCTTCAAGGTATCCACGAATAGA